TAGATAGATAGATAGATAGATAGATAGATAGATAGATAGATAGATAGATAGATAGATTAGATAGATAGATAGATAGATAGATAGATAGATAGATAGATAGATAGATAGATAGATAGATAGATAGATAGATAGATAGATAGATACGCCAGTGTTCCAGCTGAGACGTTTCCTGCTCTCGTTTCCCTTTTTCTGTACTTCCCTGAGTTTTCTTCTGTTATGTTTTTATTCATTTGGCTGCTCTTTCCCAGTGACTCCGGTAAGAGCACAAAGTGTGGGGTGGGCTGTGGCGATGCTGCAGTCCGAGTGCCGTCCTGGCTGGCCCCCGTGTAGAGCCGTGTGTGCCCCCGCAGAAGGCGTGGAGGGGAATGGTTGCCCTGTGCACGTGCTGCGGCCCTGGTGCAGCGTCTATGAGGTGGAGGGCGCCCCTCGGCCAGCGTCCCGGGGCTGGAAACGGGCCCCCCGCACTCGCTTGTCGTTCTCTCGAGAGCTGCTCTGAGTTCTAATCACTGCTTGCCATAGGACAACAAAAAGTAATTAACTCTGTTTATCACTGTGATTTGTTTCTTATTTCTGTATCAAAAATAGCTGGGTTTTGGAGGCTTGGTTTTCTATCTCAAATCTGCCTTTTTGGAAATGAATCGCTTCCTTTTCTAGGGCCGAGTCCCAGGGATTCACCAGCTGCTCACCGACGTGTGTCTGGACGGCTTCCTGGTGCCGCCATTACTTTTGTACAAACCAAGTGTTTCTCCTCCTCAAAGACATGAAAGCACGTCCCCAGGAAGCCCACTGGGATTTGGGAAAACCAATTTTCAGGCGTGTTTGCTTTAGAGCAGTGGCAGCTTCATTGGGGTTTTTTAATGTCATACATGGATGAATTTTTTAGAATCAGGAAATATGGAAGATTTCTAACATAAATGTGCTTTTTCTAATCCACCAAAAGAGGCCACATAACTTTTATGACTTACTTCCTCCCGACGTTCGTGGGAATCGTGTGAGATAAAGTCAGGCAATTCGGGAGGTTCCTCCACAGTAACCGGAGAGATGCCTGGGAGGCCAGGGCCCTGCTCTGCCGGATGCCTTTGTTTTGAGAGATGAGCTTCGGGGTCGGGGGGGAGGTGTGCATGCCTTTACCCCACTTGGGACCACAAGCCTCTGCAAAGGGTTTTATTGCTGGTAATAGTCCTCTCTTGCCAGGGCCTGCCACGTGACATTTATTTTCCTGTGAACATTTTGTAGCACCCCTGTTTGCTTTGATCCCCAAGACTAAGAGGCCCACACTGCTCTAAGAGGCCATTGGCAGGTCCCATGGAAAGGACTCCGTTTTTCTCTCGGAGCAGCCAAAGGCCAAAATGATGGTTAAAACAGTGCCTGCGCCGTTGCAGTATTTCTGCTCTGTCTGTCCCACGTGGCTGTGAGCCCCATGAGGACGAAGCCCTGTGCCGTGCCCCCTTCTCCCCATCTGCCTGCATCGAGCAGGCAGCCACCTCACCTGGCAGGTGGGTACCAGCTGTGTGTCCTGAATCCTGGGACTTCCCTGGGATACAGAGATGAGAACAAGACGCAGCCCTGGCTTCATGGAGCTTACGATCCATGAGGGGAGGCCGACTGAAGCAAAGAGACTGCAGTTCAGGTGGTCAGATTATAACAGACGTTGGAACGGTGTGCTGCAGATGACAGGACTGACGGGTCCATGCCTCTAAAGAGAAGTACGCAAAAAACACTGCAGTTACGGGAAGGCCACAGTCAAGGTGTCCTCGGCACCAGGGACCTCAGCCCAGCAAAGGGCTTCACCCTTCAAGGTGAAGTCTCAACTAGGGGAACTTAACCAGTCTGAATTCAGGGCAAGGGGCTCAAGGCAGAGAGAGGGGACAGTGGGATGCACAGGTACAGAGGAGGGTGTGATCTGTTTGGGGGCGAAGCTGGGGAGGGAGAAGGGTGGGCTTTATCCTCCAAAATGTGTCCAGGTGTTAAAAGTGTCCCAGAGCAAATAGCCTTGTCAGACTTGCATTTCAGAAGCTCTTCCAGGCAACGGCAGGGATGGCGACCAGAGGGGCTGAGCCCTGGGGGCGCATGTGGGAGTGGCGGTGCAGCGCATAGAATGGCGGGCAGAAGGCGCGTAGGGAATGGGTGCCCGCTGGGGTGGAGGATGTGGCTCCTGCAGCCTGTTTGCAGGGACTGTACCCAGGGCACCGGCTGGGCCCAGAGCTGAGGCATGGGAGCCGCAGGTGAGCAGAAGTGGCTGTGGGCGTTGTTGGTCAGTGAGATCCCACGGAGCGTGTGCGCACGGGCAGATTGTCCTCCGAGGAATGGGCAGGGGATGGGCAGGGGACGGGACCTGAGGTGCGCCAGGGGTGGAGCGGAACCGGGAGAGGCCAGGGAGGGTAACGTGCCGGGGGTGGCTGTGTTCCATCGTCATGTATGGGAAGACCTGGGAGGATAAAAACCAAAAACCAGCTCTGCAGCTGAGAAGTCGCCGATGCTCTGGGACCTGTGGTCCCGTCAGTGAAGCGAGCTGGAAGCAGCTGGGGGGTTGGGAGGAGGCACCACAGATGCCTGGGCTGGAGGGAGGTAGCGTGGGTGGCGCCTGTGGTGGGCAGAGTGGAGAGCGCGCTGGAAGACAGCACATGGGTCCCAACGCCCTCCTTACAGTCCCTGGGGTGTCAGGCAGGTTACCCCCACCCTTGCCTTTGTGTCCCCAACAGCCTGATGAGATCATAGCGCACACCATAGGTTTGTTGCCAGACATATGAATACTTGGCCTAGCCCCCAGCCCCCAGCAGGCACACACAGGTGTCTTCCTTCCCCTTGTCCTCACCTGGCAGAGGAAGTAGACACTAAGCACTAATACTAACAAGGCCCTCGCACATACAGCTCTGTAGCCATCAGGGCAAACCCCTGAGGCGAGCCCACATCATGCTCACAGAAACAGCCAGGCCAGGGACGAGGCCTGGATGCAGCTCCTCCCGCTCCTGACCCACCCCGGAGCCCGAGGGGTGGGGAGGCCCAGGGTCACCCCATAGGGAAGGCGGGGGCACCCAGGCTGACACAGGAGACCCGGACCCACAGGTCACGGTGCCCAGCCCAAGAGGGGCAAGAGCTGTGGCCTAAGCTGGTGGCATAGTTTGGAGAGAGACCAGAGGCTCCCAAGGGCGTGGTCAGTAGTGGGGCTTGAGCAAGTTAGGGAAGTGCTGAGAAAATGGGCCAAAGGAGCCATCCCTCTAGCAGGGTGCGGGGAGGGGAGCCCCGAGGCTGGGAGGAAAGACGGAGGTTCCAGCTCAGACCGCTCCTGGTGGCCAGATCCAGGGTGTACCCACCGTGTTGCTCTTGTGGAGTCCACACCGAGGGCCGGGAAGCACCAAGGGGTCGGGAGACTCTGGAAGTGATCTGTGTCTCTGCCAGGCCCCACCTGATCATGGGAGAAGGGCCAGCCCCTGGCATCGGGACACGGCAAGCGAGGGCCTATGTGCCCTCTGATGGGCTCCGGCCATGGGGAGGCGTCGGTGGAAGTTGTGGCCCTGGCCAGGATGAGCCCCCAGAGCTAGAACCGCGCTAACAGGGAGTGATTCCGCGCCTTGCATTGCAGTACGCGGTGTGTAGTCCAGCGAGCGCCGTGAGCGTTCCACTTTCAGTGGAGACAAGGGGCCTTTGTTTGAAGATGTGCAGATGCTGAGAAAGACAGTGAATGAAGAGGCCCGCCAGGTAAACGTGCACAGAGCTAAGCTGGACGCTCGTGGTAGATTTGCTTAGAGATGTGCAACGAGTAGGTGATGTGGTGCACCAGTCCTGTGTGCGCTGGAGTTAAAAATTAGGTGGAGGGAATACACATTTTACGGTGTCTTGGTGATCAGGTTACTAGAACCGTTCTCTAAGATTTAACCACAGGCCTGAGATTTGTTTCTTCACTTACCAGTAATAATCTCAAAGCTTAACTAATCTTTATATGTCGGCCTGAGTGAAAAATCAGAAGCTTCGCAGTAATGTCTTACCACGCTTCCCTCTGTATCCCTCCGACCTGCGCTTTGGCGCCCCCAGGTCTGCGAAGCGGTTGCTGTCGACCCCCTCGGCCCTGGACACCAGGTGGGGAGCCCTTGTTTCCCGTCCGGCCACGGACTCGGACTCACCGCCGCAGGCCCAGGGCTCTGCTGGGGACGTGCTGGGCTCGGGGCTCTGTCGGGACCGCCTCATGCGGCACTCCTGCTCAGGTGGCTTTGCTTCCCTGGTGGCGGAAGTGCATACCTAGATCTCCGTGATCCAAAGACAGCTTACTATAAAATAGGGAATTTAGGCTTTAAAGAGGGTACTGTGCTGAGTCCCTGCCTGTGTGTGAGTTTCTTTCTATTGCTGTGTCTCTCCAAACATGCCTCCGTTTTCAGTCCATGTAAATGGACATGATCCTAACCGAATCTGGGGACAGGGGCTTTTCTGACTTCGAAACTTTAGTTTCCTTCAGCCAGTTTAAGAATTCCTAAAGACATCTAGTGCTAAAACTCTGAAATGTAAAAAGAGTGGCTAAAATTATTCTGTATACTGTGTACAGATACTAGTGTCATTCAGAGCTCAATTAAATAGAGTTTGGGGTTTTTTTTAATCTACTTGTTTTTAATTCAAGTAAATTGTATTCCCCGGCTGATCAGACAGGATCAGGTGTTACCAGGAGCCCACGCACAGCAGCCACAAGCCTCACATGGCTGCTGAGCACTGGAAATGTGGCCACCTGCACAGAGCCGTAGTCTGTCTAAAACACAGGGATGCCCAGGCTTAATCTAGAGAAAAGAACGTAAAAACAATTCGTTCATGATTTTTTGTTATTAACTATATATTGAAATGGTAATATTTTGGATATACTAGGTTAAATTAAAAATACTAAAATTAATTTCACCTATTGCTTTTGACTTTTTTAATGTGGCAACTAGAAAATTTGCAATTATGTAACACAGCTGGCATTATTTTTCCAGCTGAACAGCTCTGGTCTGGGCTTGTTCTTCATAGCCCTGCAGAAGGAAGGCACCAGTGCCATCCACATGCATGCCCAGCCAGTTCCTAGCCTTAGGTTACAATAAGCAGGTGAAGGCATGCGTCTTTCAGCCCATCAAAACTTGAACATACTAAACAGTGGAAATATTCGATATACTCCTAGTGAACAGCAGCAACTCATTTTATACTTAATTCAATTGGATTCCATAATTTCCTCTCAATCAATATTCTTAGCAATCCTGATTTAATAAAAAACAGCACATTTTATTTTTCTCTGTGGGGATATTAATTTTCCTACTTCTTGATTTCTTTTAACTTGGAAAGAAATTCGAGGTCACCTCTTTGATTACCATGTTGATACTACAGCTTACAGTCTGCCAAAGACACAGGAGTGACCTTGTTAACTGCAAACAGGAAATCAAGGTCAGTGTTCCTCCCACCAGGAGACCTACCTGTGAACTGGCAGCCACACGTTAGTTTTTAAGTCGTTTGGGCCATGCAAAATTGGAAGAAAATTGATGATTTACAAGCCGTTTCTTATGCATTAAATATTTTAGGGTAGGAAGTTTTTTTTCTTTTTGGTACATCCTTTGACTTATGCCATCGTGAAAGCTAGGAAAAGAGTAAACTATGCCCAAAATGTAAGGAACATGTAAATCATGGTCATATTTAGTATTTAGGGCCTTCCAACGGGTTGCCTTCCCCCTGCCCTAGAAAAGGGCAGCCTCCGTCCCGGGAGGAGCGCCCGCACAGCGGGCATGGAGCCGTCTACTCGTTTGGTCCTGGGTGATAGACAGTTAGGGTAGTTCTTGGCCAACTCACAGCATGGGTTCATGACTCTTGAAATCAGGTCATGTAACTGAGCTTTCGGTGTAATTGATACTCTTACAAAAATTCTTTCTCTGCCCTTCCTATAGGTTACCATAGCTCCCATTCCTGGGTTGGAAGAACCAATGCTGCTATATTGAGTTCTCCCCAAATTAACATAATTGCAAAATCCCGCCAGGCTATTTTTTGTAAATAACGAGCTGATTCTAAAACTCATATGGAAAGCAAAATACCTAGAATGGGTCCAAAACAACTCTGAAAAAGAATAAAATTGGAAGGCTAACACTACCCAATTTCGAGACTTAGAGGTTTCTATGGATCAATTGGACTTCCCCCTGAATCTCAACCTGTCTAGGTGGAGATATTTAAAGTGCAATCTCTTAGCTATAATATCTGGGACGATAGTTCTTAATTTGAAAATGTTTGGGGTTTTATTCCTGGAATTCTCAAAAACAGTGTTGTTAAAGCAAAGAGAATATACCAGCCGAGATGCAGGAACGTTTATGTATGTGCTGTAGAGACCACATCAACGTAAGTTAGGGCTAGCAACTAAACATTGACTATTTCCAGTGCCCTTTCTATTTTTGGCTCATTTTATTTTTCCAAAATAATTCCACATTTCTTTAAAATGATTGGAATGTTGGCTCGGGACGGTAGGCATGTGAGAGGTAAATGGTAACATGGCAGTAGAAGAGGGGACAGGAAATCCTAATGGTAGTGTATGTAGGTGATGGGGATTGTGTGCAGAAATTCAACTCTACTGACTGGTCAGAACCATAATTTGCATTTCTTTTGAGAAGCACCCATAACCCTATGTAGAACACCCAAAGAAAAACTAGTAAATTTCATGTGAATGATGTTTATATCAGAGACATTTAAAATGTTTACAATTCTCATTTTTAATGGTCGGGAGAAAAGCCGTGTCAACCACGCAGATAAGGAAGGTGTAGAAAGACAAAAGGTGGGAAGGGAAGGTATTCATTACTCAATATGTAGAGTGTACTTATGGCTTTTATATTTAGGAAAAGACTTGACATTAACATTGTGTTCATGAAGTATTTGCCTTTTCTTCCGGTCTTCCCAGCATGTGGTGGTAGAGACAGATCTGGTCCCTAAAGAAAAACTCCGATTGGCCATGTCCTAAATTAAGTAGTAAAAACACACACAATTATGCATGTCCAACCTGTGATGTTCTTTTGACTCTTTACTGTACAAATTTAAGGTCTGTCATTCTGCCAGCAGAGGCCTTTTCTTCCCGGCTTACACCTCCCCAGCAGGGATGTCTCAGGGCTTTGCTCTCCGTCGGTCCCTTCGGCCCCCCCAGTGCCAGCATGTTCGCAGCACATCCCTCCAGGTGCTGTTCATTCAGGGTGACCGTGTACATGATTTTCTCATCCTTTCCTGCCTCCTGTTTTTCTGATTTTTTTCCCCTCATGGTTAGTAAAATTATTCTCTTCTTTACACACCAAGTTCCAACGCTCAGGTGTGCCCTCCAGCTTTCGGCCCTTCCAGGGTCACATTTGTGTCCTCAGTTTGCAGTCATTGGGTCCAGCCCCAGGGTGGCCAGTCATTTAGGTCTCATGCCTATGTGAGCAGTGATTAAATACTTCAATAATGTGAAAAACTTAGCTGTGCTTTGCTTTGCTTTATAGCTCAACATGGAAGGGACATACAATCCAGGGTCGAATTTCCCCAAGTTTCTCACGGCTCTCAGGCAAACACGCTGCCCGCCTGAAAGCACTCTCGTGTGCGGTGACTGCGGCAGCACGTCCCCCTTCAGTCACCCGAGGCATCTCACACTAAAACAGTTCCTGCCCTTACCATGGATGAATACTACATCTCAACATTTCTAGAAGTAATCTTAAAATGATGTCATGCAAAATTCTTTCTAAAACCTGCCCTTACTGCTGTTTCCACAGATAAATTTGCAAAGAACTCTAAGAAATACTAGCTCTGCAAAAAATGAGAACTTTTCATGTATGACTTCTGTGGGTCCTTGACTTTTTCATTTCAAAGCAAAGCAACGTGAACTTTATCCTACCCAAGTCAGACACCTGGAAACTGTGAGAAGTTGTTGCAGTTTTGTTCTTTCTGCTGTTAAGTGTTTGACTTCCATTTTCTCCACTGGACAATAGTTCACCACCACAAAAGTAACCTTACTCTGTAAATAAGGTCTCTTTTTTGATGGAGACCCTAAACAGAAAGGAAGCCTTGGCTCTGGTTAACATTTCCAATAACAGTCTTTAGATGATTGAGGAGGCTTGTTTTGTCTCAAAAATACTGGTATTAACACAATGGCCCTACTTCAAAACTGAATGGAAATGGGTGCTTTGGGTGTATAAACTCCTCATATCAAGCCCCCCTTTCTTTGCAGACACACTTCTCCAAATCTTCATACAAAAGTGGGATTCATTTAATTTTTTTTTTTTAAGTAAAACCCAAATGTCCTGAACTTCAGGAAGAGGGTGGGGTGGAGAAGGGGGTATTTTATTTCTTAATATTAAGAAAGGTTATGTAAATAATTAGTTTTTCTAAGTTCTAGGGAACTTTTTCCCCACAAATGACCCATCTAATACTTATTATTTTAAGTATCTTTTCTCAAATTCAATAGAAGTTTAGACTTTGTGTTGGCCTCAATGTTTTTCATGCATTCCTCCAAAGAAAATTTCAACTTTCTGAAATGGCCATAAAATAGCTTTGGTAACATTTTATGAAATTGGAGGGCGGGAGTTGCTATTTAGATTTACTAAAACCGGTGGATTTGCAAAACAGAGGGGCTGAGTACTCGGTACAAAGCTGTACATTTTGGAGGCCCAGCGTGCCAATGCCATACACACAGCGCTGCACGCTGGTCGCGGGCGATTTTTAACAGAGGTGACGTTCCGGGCTAATGACGGAGGTGGTAGATGCCAGGCCCCCTGCGGCGGGGCCCTGCGGGCAGCCGCGGGCGCACGCTGCATGCCCGGCTCGCGGCTGCCCTCCGGCCTTGCGGGGCGGCGGCGAGGGCCGGCCAGCTCGCCCGCAGCCAACGCCCGGCCTCTCTGCTTGCAGGCGCACAAGGACGGGAAGAAGGAGCGGCCCCCCGCGCGCCGCCGGGCGGAGCCGCCGCAGGACCCCCACACCAGGAGCGCCTTGGAGGCCCGCTGCCGGGCCGACGAGCTGGGCCCCCAGGACGGGCGCTAGCCCCCCGCGGGCCGGCCGCCGGCCCCTCCCTGGACTCTGTAGGAAATACATACTTTCGTGCCATACCGATCAGTTACACTCAAGTCAAAGCTCTCTTGTACCCCGTCTGTAGGCGATAACGCCCCCGGCCTCCGCTCGAGACCCGGAGTTCAAACAATGGTGACTTCGCAGACCCCGCCGCCGCCCGGACCAGCCGAGGAACCGCCCGGGCACCGTCCTCGCGTTCTCCCCAGGTGGACCCAAGCTCATTTAAATTTGAAACAGGTGGTTCTCTGAGAATATCAATGTTTTTCAAGTCAAAGGAACACCTTAACCAAGTATTACCTATTTTTTAAGACTTTACAACCTTTGGAATTGTTTCCATGTGATCGTTCTGCCAGCAGTTTCTGGGGGGGGGGGGTGTTTGTTTTTTAGTTTATCTCATTGAAATGGTTCTTTGCCGCCATTGTTCTAACACAGCTTTCTGGGAATAGTGACACGACAATCCTCAGCCACCGTTTCTCCCCCAAGGTGTCTCTTTTCTTTGACTAATGACATGGCCCCATGTCGCTTCCCTCGTGTGTAGCTAAAGCCATATTTCCCAGTCTGTGGTCCAGCCCCAGGGTTCCAGGAGAAAGCTCACAGGAGAAATTTATTTTGAAAAGAGCTTCCTCCGTCTGCCTTGACTGGAATTGGAATTTTAAAGTGATGTACGTGTTAATTTTTTTGTTTGCCGACTTTTTTTCCCTCTCCTTTCACATTGTTGCCCTTTAACAAGGCTCTTGTGTTAATAAAATCATAGTCTCCAAGAATTCCACATTTTGTAGAAAGTTAGAACGAGATCAGTCTGAGATAGGCCAGTTCGCGGCCGATGCAATCAATGCCGTTAGGCATCGGTAACAGAACAGCCCTGCGTGCGCGCCGGCCGGGCCCCTGGCCCAGAGCTGTGACGTGGTTCTGAGAGCCTAGAGGAAACAACAGTGGGGGTGACCTCAAATGAATACGTTTCTGGTGAAAAGAGCGCACGTTACAAGCACGTCTTCAGGAAAGTACGGTGTCTGGGTTTTTGCCGGCCTTCGAATGCTGCTATGTGTTTCGGACTTCTTGCGCGTACTGAGCTCTTTGTTTTCGATGGAACAGCACGAGGGGGGAAGTCCTTAAACTTAGTGCTTTCTCTGGTCTTCATTTCTCTCAGGGTGGCCAGTATTTTGACTGATCTGTCCTGCTGAGAGCTATCTGAGATGTGCACAGCTATTCTAGACAAGCGATTCTAGTTTCTCTTGTCTCGGGCATAAGATTAGATAACTTGATGTTAAATGTCTTGATGCATAAAAGTTACAACATGGCTTCTTTTAGGATCTGATTTTCAGTCGAGGTCTTGGGCATCCATCCGTCAGAACGCTGTGAAAAGCAGACGTCACTCCGATGGGGCTGGGCACCTGCTGCCCGCGGGCTTCACGGAGACCCGCTGACAGTGTGTGTGCTTCCTGCGTCCTGGTGGGGAGGGGGTTTCTTGGGCTAAGAGCAAGTTCTAAATTGAAAGGCTGCCCCCACGGAAAGTGGAAAAGCCTATTTTGCGCGAAGAAACGCTTCCTGAGAAACTTGACAAGTATCTATCCATTTTACCATTATGAAATTTATAATTTAAACAAGTTTAGATGCCTTCTTCTGAGGGAAAAAGGGTGCTTTTTATTGTATAAAGCAGCGTCTTACGTATTTTGATATACCATTGTTTGAACTTCCATCTTTAGCTGATAGATTCTCAAATATCCTTGATTTTTTGGATGTTCAGTATGTTTGTGAGAGATTTCTGGGAAGGCTCTCTTTTGCCCTAGGGAAAAAGCAAAATACCAGTGTTCGGGTGATTGTGTAAAGTTCAACGTATAAGAACATCTTTTTTGTCTAGTTTTTATTTCTGCTCTTTATTGAAGACAAACATTCACCAAAAAGGGGGAAAAAAAACTTTTGAGAGAAACTAATTTTCTTTGACATGAGTATTATTTAATATTTTGGCCTATTAAAGTTTTCCTAGTTAGTACTCAGATTCCCTGTGCTAATCATTCACTTATATATTATTATATAGATACACTGCTTATTCTGTACCAAACCTATTTCAAAAGTACTACATTAAAAATAAACTGGTGACTGTTTTTCTTCATAAAGTTCTGAGTTTGGCATCTTCACTCTTTCCAAAACGTAACTGTGCATCAGAAATGTCACTATTCTGAGTGTCTTTTTAGTGTGGCTTTAGTATGGCTTCCTTTTAATATTGTACATACATTGTATCTTTGTTTTATGGTAATAAGTAATAAAAATGTAGACTTCATATTTTGTACAAAATGTCCTATGTACAGAATAAAAAAAGTTCATAGAAACATCAAGAATAGGTAAGTGGCACAATTATTTTTCTTTAGAAAATATCTGTAACTTTATGCTTTAGTGAAATGTTAAGTACCTACATATTTTTTAACATTTTGTAATTCAAACCTTTTGGTTTTGACATTGTTTATGAAGAGAAACTTCATACACTTGCCATTTAATATGCTCTTTTATCTAGTTTTAAAAACTCTAAAAATGGTGTATTATATGGACTAAATAAAGAACATGTGAATTTTATTGCTCATCATGAAACTAAATTTAGCCACATTGCTAGGCAAGCTGGTTCTGATCATTGTTATCAAGTTACCCGTTAGGTCGAGCACAGCCACGCCAGGGACGCAGTGCGAGGCGGGGACCAGGAGTCTGTGGGCACCTCTGCTACTTGCTCCAGCCCAGGCTTTTCCAAGCATTTTGTAAACTCCATGTTTGCTGCCCTAGTGGAGGCGACTTTATTGACACCGCTCATTTTCTGAGTAGGCAAATGTGAATCAGAATACAGTTTACAGAAAGGTAGCTAGTGGAGCCCTAAGCAGGATGTTCACAATGATGCCTGAGAGGAAATTAATGCCTTGAGAACAGCAGAATCAATGAGCGTACGTGAACTTGGCATCTTCCCAACTCTCCCCTCATGGGGAGCGCATGCCCCTCATGATGCTGTTCTGAAAAGTCCAGGAGGGTAGGTCTGGGATAAAGCTACTCCCCTGAGGCACTGCGACAGGCCTCGCCTCTCCTGGGGGCTGGGCTGGTTGTGACCCTGCCGCTTCGCTTCCTTATCCATCCAGGGTTCCCGGCGCCCTGCCCGTGGACGGGGTGCAGACGTCACTCTTGGAGCAGCAGTGCCCTGGAGAGGCCTTGTGGCCTCCAGCGTCTGTGACCTGAGCATCGGGTAACTCCGTGGAGTGTTGGGAGAACCACACACACCCCACTTCCACCCAGGAGCAGACGTGCCGGTCAGAAGACACTGGATCTGGCGCAGCTCCTGAAACTGCTGACTCCTCAAACTAGCTGCCCCTCGCCCCCCAGCTGGGGGCCGGGGAAGCTCGGGGGCTGGGTAACGTCCCGCCGCGCCAGAGCGCTTGAGGGAACTTCCAGAAC